GGTGCTGTGAGCTGGCTGTGCACGTGGTGGAGACAGGTTGCTGGTGCCGGTGCTGGTGCTGGGTGCCGGGTGCCGGTGGCTGGTGCTGGTGCTGTGAGCTGGCTGTGCACTTGGTCGGTGCTGGGTGCCGGCTGTGCACGTGGTGGAGACAGGGTGCCGGGTGCTGGTGCTGGGTGCTGGGTACCGGTGCTGGGTGCTGGTGCTGGGTGCCGTGAGCTGGCGTGCCGGTGCTCGGTACTGGTGCCCGCTTCTGACAGTGAAGTGAAAACAACCGCCGCTTCTGACAGTGAAGGGTGACAACCTGCCGCTTGTAGCAGTGAAGGGCGACCAACAGCCGAAGTGCCAGCAGTCATGGGCCGCATGAACTTATGCACGCAACATCATACGGTGTGTCGCTTGAGGGTTCTTCGTATATTGGCGCTGTGGGGTATTTACACTCTTCAGGTTCTGTTTTGGCCGACAGCTGTGTCAACCGCTGTACTGTTGGCGCGCGACGTATAATATTCTATGCGCAACGTCAGGCTCTCAACCGACCATTGTTTCAGCGTGCTTCAGCCTGCTACACACACAATAGTCGTGCTGGATACTGCGTGGCCTTGGGCGAGTGAAGCCTACGGGCTTTGCCGTTTGTGCGCATACTTTGTGCGCATAAACTTATAGTGGCGCTGGATACTGCTTGGCCTTGGGCCAATGACACTTACGGGCTTTGCTGTTTGTGTGCATACTTTTTGCGCGCATAAACGTAGCGCATACTGTAAACGTATGCGCGCAAGCTAAGATCATACGTTGTTATTCCCCAAATAGGGATAGCTATGGGGTTCTTACTGCAAATAAGAATGAGCCGCGCGCGCTTTCGAAAGGGTGTCGGCGCTGGGCGGCGGCGCTGGTCGGGTGCTGGTGCCGCTGCCGGTGTTGTCAGCTGGCAAAGCGCACCGGTGCTGGTGTCAGCTGGTTGTGCGCGCTGTGGAGGCGCCGTAAGCTGGCTGTGCAGGCTGCGTACATTCTTGTTCCAGCCAGTCGCATGTCAACAGGTCGTGGGATTCTGCCTAGCTATCTGGGTCTATGCTGGTGTAATTTGTTTTGGAAGGTGGATGTGGATTCTTAACGATTCGCTCTTACCCTTGTTGTAGTCTGGTTAAGTGAGTCACTTTCCCTGCAATTGCTGCCATCTGAGTGCTTGAACAACAGCTCCACTGAGTGGGGGTTCTGAGGTCTGTGTCTCTCGGCATTGGTATGGTGAAGACGCCGTCTGGGCTCTCATCACAAGGCGCGCCCTGTCTTCACAAGTAAAATTCATGGGGCACTCCATACGATGGTAGCCTTCCACGAAGGCATTTGGCCAGCACTGCAAGCCAGAATCTGAGCGCGCCAGGGAACATGGTGCATTCTCACACCTTCCCGGAACTTTGCTCACAGGTGGGGCGGCCAGCTCGGGCGGAAGCAAGTGGTGCGGGGGGGATCCATGTTTGCCTCGATAGATGCGCAACATCGACAGATGAAACAAAAATAGTATCGTAGAGCTTCAGAAATCTCTCCAGGATGCTGGAGACAGCTTTTGCCTCGAAGAGTATGCTGATCATGATGCAGGCGGTTCCGAGAGATTGCGCCCTCTGCTTTGGTGGAAAACTGATGCAACACCATGTGTAAATAGCAAGTTCTATCTGCCATTTCTTTGGAGGAATAGGCAAACTCACTCCTTCTAGCCAGTTTTGGAGTTCGCCCACCCAGCACTTCTACTGTATTTGCTTCACCCAGGTGTGGACTCAGAGGTCTGCGATCCCCGTTTTGCAGCCATTGCGGCAGAGCATGCAGGTCAAACGAGGGGGCTCGGTGATGGATGACGGGGGGTCGCGGTGGATACAAAGGGAGGTGAGCCAGCAACGAGGTTAGCCAGCACAAGAATATCAGCTTATTTGGACCACCGCAGAGCTTCCAATCGGCTCTTGCTGCAGGATCTTGGAAGCTGCCATTTTCCAGGCGCGTACCGCGTGCGTGTGGGCCATCAATGGCTCGTTGTACTATTGTGTTCTCCAAGATTAGGTGGCACTTAGTGGAATATGGATTTGTGGACTAGGACTGTTCATTCAGGATCAGGCATAGAATAGGCACAGCCATGCATCGCCTGTATTGCTTGATATGGCTGTGGGTCAAAACCGGTGCACCCTGGTTGACCAGAGAAAACGAACAGAAAAGACTGCTAAGCTAAGGAGGTCAACCTAGCCTAGATTGGGGATCCCGATTTTGACCCACAGCCATATTGCTTGTGTATGCTTGTGTCATGTAAAAGTCGACTAGATGGAACCTCAAGTGGTTTTCCGGCGCCAGCAAGCAGGTCGAGCAAGCACGTCCAAGGGGGCATTTGCAATGTTCAAAGACCAGATGAATTTTCTAAGAGGAGGTGAACTTTGACAATTCATCTAGACCTAGGAGGTGAACTTTGGCATTTTGAGTTCCCTCAAAAACCGTTCGGAGGTGAACTTGGATAGGTCATTGACGAACTTTGTTCGGTTTTTGGGTCACTTTGTTCGGGTCAAGTCACTTCTGCGCGTGCTGTGCAGGTCTGAAGAGTATGCTCGCCTCAGGGAGGATACCTTTGTGTCGTTGCTGCTGAGAAATCACTGCCATGAAGTTGCAAGGTGTGGTTGGGTTTTGACAGGGTTGGCGAAATTGAAGATTCTAAGGTGATTCTCAACTCCCATGCCAGTGTGACTCCACGTTTGACTCGTGAGTGTGACGCTTTTCGGCACGGCGTCGGCAGGAAAAAAGGACACCACGAGGAATTTGTATCGACGCACTCGACGCAGTTGGAGAGTTTTGCCAGGCTGAACTATGACTTTGAGTGTCCTGAACAAAAGGGATATGAGAAGGCAAGCGGGGCGATCGACTCCAGTGCCGCTCAGAACATTCGGGGACAATGCAAGTGACCTTGGTAGGTTGATCGCAGTTTGCACTCAGTTTCTCTTGCTTTCTATTCCTTTGGAACCCAAAAGACTGTCTGAGCCGAACCCAAAACCACCCCTCGCTTTCTCAGCGAGGCCCGCTCGTTCGTCGGGGTCCCTTCGCTGCATCGAGGCCTTCGGCGAAAATTCGATTCGATTGAAGAAGATACCCTTTGTCGATGGGAATATCCCCAACAAGGTGCGGCGACGCGGTTGGGCGTCGCGCAGGGCGACGCGGTTGGGCGACGAAGAGATTTCCGCCGAAGGCATCTTTTTCTCCACCGGCCCAATCGCGCAGGTCTTCTAGATTGGTCAGGTTGGTAAATTCCATTCGATCGATCTCTAGTTGCGCATGCGTCGAAATGGAGATAATGGCGTTTTGGACTGTTTTTGGTTGGAGATTGTTTGCTGTGCTGTTGCTGTCTTTTGGGGCAACCGGGTCTAAGTGTTCTACAACTTGAACCGCGATGGTCGTTCCAGGAAGTTGTCAAGGAGTTCCTCAAGTCGAGCTTGGAGCTGAGAGAAAGTTGCAAGTGCAGTTTCGTCTCCAACCTAGAAGCCTTTGTTATATTTTGTTACATATGAATACATAGGATGTGATTTGTGCAATCCGATCCTGGCAGCTATTGGTGGGTCCGCATGGATGATGCATTTCAGCCTCTGGTGAAGGTGGAAATGCCATCAAGCAGAATAAAACCATCGCCCTTCATTGCCAGGGAGGGATGGGCAGGACCGAGAGACGTCGACGTCTCTCGCGTCTCGAGAGACGTCTCTCGCTCGACGGCCGGCTAAAGCGATTTGTTTGGAGTAAAGATTTCCAGAGTTTGACTCAATGCAAAACGGGTGTTGCTCTTTGCTACCTATGAACAAACAAACAGGGAACACATGTCAAGCCCGTCATTGAGAACGCAGGACTGGCGTGATGGCAGGCTGAGCACAGAGGGGGCGGTCGAAGCAACGTCTTCCTCGCTTCAGATTCTTTTTCTTGCCAAGCTGTGCTGGGCTTTATCCTTACGCTTGGGAGCACTTAGGAACACAATTCAAGACTTGGTGCAGAACGTGGTGGTTCTTTTGGGCTCCTCACTGTTCCTCACTCATTGTTCCTCGCCGTCACAGCTGGCAGGCGCTCATGCAGCAGTTCATCATCAAGTCGATGGGAGCTTGCCTCAGCCTGCGCGACGACCGGTCCGAGCTACCGAGCGACACCGGGCGACACCGAGGTTCTGGTCGTTTCATGTCACACCACGGGTCACCATTGTTCCGGTGTTTCATTGGCCGTTCTTCGAAGCATTTAAAGAGAAGACTCCCCACAGTCGACACTTCCAAAGTGGAAGTTGGTGCGGTGCAGATGTCGATTTGTTGGGATGGCTGCTCATAGATCAACCAAGCCTGGTTCTGCTGCTCCGTCCGGTCTTGTGGCGAAAGACTTTGAGGACTGCATTCCACGGCTGGACTCGCATTTGCCGGCCTGGAACGGTTCAAACCGTTATCCAAGAGGCAGGGATTGCGTCAGAAACGGCGAATGAAAAGGAAGGCCACCTTGCAAATCGTCCGGAACAGTTCAGACATTGCCGACTCTTCAATGCTTTTGTTTTGTTTGAAGCTTCATGGAGTTCGTTATCATATTGAATCAGGGTTTGTAGCAGCTACTAGTAGCGTTCAGGTTTTGAAAGCGAGGGTGGCAGTTGGGACCAGTGCCTGCAGCTGGCAGGAATTCTTGAGAAAGATGCAGCCGAACATCTCTCGAGCCTCCTGGTGAGCATTTTACTTGATGTGCTGACATACTGTATAATATTTTGTTCACTACAATGCCAGTGCGGGAACACATCACAATAGAAGTGGGTTTGTCATACTAACTGGGAATATATGATAATATATGATATGTATTGTTATACCTGAATCTTCCAAGGGCTGCACTCCTTGCGCCTCTAACCTTGAAGGTGCTTCTAGGAACTGAGAGGCAACTGTTTTTTGCAAGAGGCGATTCTTGGTTTACATAGATTTCTTCCCAGCTGGAACACACTCAGTTGTCCACATCAGTGGCTAAAACACACATGAATGATAAACATACATGGACACACATGAAAAACATGAAAGCACAGGAGAGCCACAAGAAAAAACACATGAGTCACATGAGACATATGAAAAATACGAAGCACATGAAACATCATGAAAGCACATGAAAAACATGAAACATATGCAAAAACATCAAAGCACATGAAACAACGAGAGGCAGAACTTCCCGGGCAAGAGGTGGAACTTCCCAGGTAAGAGGCGGCATTCCCCGGTCATGAATTTTTTGCATAGTGTGAGGTCGACAGGCTGCTGCTTTCAGGCTTGTCTCTCATCCAAGAGGAAATGGCGTGTCAGCTTCCGTCACGTGTCTTTTCGAGTTCGACCCTGATGGCTGGTTTGACGTTAGAGAAAGAAGAGAAAGATGTGGACAAACTTGATGGTGAAGTCAATGAGCTTTGTTGGGACACACTGTCAGTCTTTCAATGGCTATGTGATTAATTACATAACTCGAGAACATCCAAGCTGTCGGCAGCAGCAGCGGAAGACCACCAAAAACATTACAACTGACAAGATTCCCTTCTACCAGAAAAGCGCGAGAGGCAATTGTTTTCTAAGCGGCAACTATTGAATGGAGAGGCTAACATTTGAGCCTCTTTGCTATGAGGCTGAGAAAAGCAACCACCGGAGGTTTAAGGTATATATTGTGAAGATGTCAGGTCATGAACACAGATGTCTCATGTCCGCACTTTGCAGGTGTACCGAAACGGTACGTGTGGCGGGCCGTCACGGCTCAAATCTTACTAGGCCTTGAGCCTTCCGATGCGCGGTTGGAAAACTGGGCGTCGAGGTTCATTTAGCACTTGACACTGGTAGCGCGAGCCTCGGTAGGTGCGCCATAGATTGGATTTTCTGGTCTGTGACCCCGCTGGAGCAGAGCCTTTGTTTGGTCGTATAGAGCTGGACATTTGGTTGGTGGCAAGCTGAGGGAACTTCAGGGAACTTTTACACCGGAATTTGTTCGCGAGTGGAGGTGACCGAGAAGCCCAAAGCAGGTGCCGGAATTCAGGTGATTGCAAATTTTGACAAGTTTGGACAACCGCAGTTTCACAAGATTTTGCACGAAGTTGTTGACATTTTGTTGACATGCAGTCGCAACAGAGCAATTCATTGTATGTGGACCAGAAGAGCAATGTGGTGCACTACGATGGAAGCCCCAAGCTGGCAGAGGAATATGAAGAACGTGTATGGCTGGGATTTCAAACGGTGCAGAAGGAAGAGAAAGCAAGCTATGCAGCGAAGTTGAAGAACACCTTGCATGGCCGAGCATGGACATTGTGCCACAGGAAGCCGGAGATCGCTGCCCAAAAGCTGTTGCAGATCAGTGAAGCTGAACCTTCAACGAATGCTTCCTAACTCAGATGTGCCATTGTTGCTAGGACTTCCCCAGTTGCGAGAACTTGGTGCAGTGATTGATCTCACAGCAACTCCAAAGCCCACGATTCAATTCACGGCAATTGGACTATGGTTCAGGAGGTCATTTGCTTCTGGACATTGGGCATTCAAAGAACAAGAAGGAGAACCCGACTTGCTGGTGAGACAGTTGAAGTTTTCCATCAACTGAAGGCGAAGGACTTCAATGTGGAGACAACACGCATCATGAAGAGTAAGCTGAGGAAGGAAGTGCAAAAGATGGCCGAAGAAGCAAAAGCACATGGTCGAGCACTATGGAAAGAATTGAGGAAAGGTGCAAAGTCGCATGTGAAAAGGGTGTTGGTAAAAGAACTTTACAGTGGTGCAGATGGTGGAGTTGTCACCGCTATCGCCAAGGACAACGACGTGTCTTTTGGCAAACCTCGAGATCTTCTTTTGGGCGACAACTTTCTCAAGAAAGAAGACAGGCTGGCAGTACTCGAGGAGATTCGCATTGAGAAGCCAAAGTTGGTGACCATGGGTTTCAACTGCGATCCGTGGACTCCTCTCAGCAATTTTCTGGTTGAAGATGTCCGTAAAATGCAACGAGAAATCGCCTTGGATCACTTAGAGTTTGTGAAAGAGGTGTGTGAACTTCAGATTGCAGGTGGACGTCATTATTTGCTGGAAAACCCGCTGTCGAGTCAAGCCTGGAAGTACATCTTGGAAAGCGTTGAACATATTCCACATTACACATCACGAATGGATCAGTGCATGAGTGATTTGAAGGATGTCAATAATGACTATGTACTGAAGCCAACCAGATTTGTGACATCATCCCCGGTACTCGCTTCGACCTTGAGCCTTCGTTGTGATGAAAGCCATGATCGCGCTCATGTACAAGGTCGAGGACAGAAGAGTGGACGAAACATTTCAAGTTTGCTGGGACAGTGGACTCCACAACTGGGTGTTATGATTCTGGACGGCATTCAACGACAAGTGATGCTGGAAGAACAGTGTGGAGAAGTGAAGTACTATTTGGATGAAGCTGATGTTTATCACAGTGCCCTAAAGAGAAGCTCAGAAGTGATGTTTCGACAAGAAGAAGAACAAGAGCTTCAAAGCTGGGAAGAAGTGCCGACATTGCTGCGCAGTGCAATAGCTAAGGTGCATCGTCAGTACTCTCATTCTTTGTGCAAAGAGCACTTTAGTCGACACCTCAAACTAGCAGGAGCTTCAAGTCAGGCAATCAAAGCAGCATCTTTGTTTTCCTGTCCGACATGTGAACAAGAAAGGAGAAGCCCTGCAAGACCAACAGCAGCAGTTCCGAAGTACAACAGCTTCAATCAATGTGTCGCAATGGACATTGCCCATATCCCTGATCAAGATGATGTGATGCGTTCCTTTTTGATCATGGTTGACATGGCCACTTCTTACACCCTCGCATCATACCTGTGCTCAGGTGAAGGTCCTGGAAGACCCAAGAAGCCTCAATCTTCGCAGTGCAGGAAATCCACGATGGATTGGTTGGAGGTCTTCGGAAGCCCGGACAAGGTGCAGGTCGATCAGGATGGTTCACTGAGAGGTGACTTCAGAGATTTGTTGGACAGGTATGGCATTGAAGAGGTGTTGGTTGCCAGAGACGCTCATTGGTCACATGGCACTGTGGAAAGGAAGATCCTCACGGTAAACGAGATGATGCTGAAGTTGGTGCATGACAGCGAGATCAGAGGAGCAACCTTGACTCCGGTGGCTGTCATTCAATGTGCACAAACTATGAACAGATTGTCGAACTTCAGAGGATTTTCACCGGCTCAGTGTGTTTTGGGCTATCAACCAAATCTGCCAGAGATCATGGGTGATGGAAGAGGACTACCCATTGTGGACAATGAGGAGAATTTTGCTATGGCTCAGAGGATGAAACTCTTGCAAGATTGTGACATGCCTTTGTGAAGGCCAACCACCAGCTTCGCTTCGCCGTGCATTGCTTTCGCAGACACGACAACAGCCAGGTCCCTTTGACATACACTCCTTGGTGATGTACAAGAGAAAGGGACTCAAGCGCAAAGTGTATAAGCAATGGCATGGTCCTGCACGGGTGATCGGAAGAGACCTACATGGCTATTGGATCATCCATCGAGGAACTCCAATTTTGGCACATCCTCACAATTTGAGAAGGGCCATTGCAGAAGAGCATGAACTTATGCTTGAAGATGATGATTCAACGCTGCCCAAGACCGGACAACAAGGTTTCCTTGACCTCTCGAAAGCTCAGGATCCCATTGACCTGGAGGAGGAAACTGAGAATGTGGTAGAGTATGAACCAACCGAACCACCAGGTGCAGATGAAGCTGACCCCAAGGAGGTGGAAGAAATGGCGGCAACTTATCAAGATGAGTGCACCTCAAGTGGAGATGAATCTCGTGAAGTGCGAGAGATGAAAAGGTTGGACAGAGAAGAGAAGAGAAGAAGAGAGGAGGAAACAACAGAAGCAGCAGAAGATGATGACAATGAAAGGATGAAAGGACTCCGGAAGCCCAAGAAGCCAATTGAAAGCCCAAGCAAGAAGAGAAGGAAACGCGAGAAGAAGTTGGAGGAGCCTCAAAGCCAACAGAATGTTGAGGAACATCCTGTTCCTCAAAGTGAAGGACCAAGCGTCTCATCAATGACTTCGCCAGATGATGACCACAAAAGGAAGCGAGATGCACTTCTGGATGATGTTCCTGATTCCATTCGCAGCACAATCAGAAGAAGAATGGAGGAGAGATCGACGTCATTGCCAGAAGGTGAAGAGAGTGAAGATCCTGAGGAGAAGCAAGCAATGTGTGTGGCATTCCTTGCTGAAAGGGTCGACGCGTACATGAAGCACAACAAGCACACCGAGCTCAACCCTCAGAAGATGAAGAACCAATTGCCAAAGTTTTCTGAAAAGGAAATTGAAGAAGCTATGCAGAAGGCAATTGAGAAGGAGATCAGCACATGGCAGAGGTTTGACGCCATTGACATCATCCCTCCGGAAGAAAGCAATGAGATCAGGAAGAACAGTCCGGAGAAAGTGATTTCATCCCGAGGAGTCTGGACGAAGAAAGATGATGAGAAAAGGGATGAAAATGAGAAGGAAGAATTGGTGCTGAAATGCCGTGTGGTTGGAAGAGGTTTCCAAGAAGAATATGATGAAGCACTTCGAAGAGATTCCCCCACGTGCTCAAATTTGCTGGCGCAGGTGATCTGTAGTTCAAGGTTCATGAAACTCACAGCAGCAGATGTGCGTGGTGCTTTCCTTCAGGGATTGAAGATTGATCGCGAGCTCTACTTTGAACCTCCCAAGAATCTTGGAAAGGCAAGAATCCCAGGTGTGGATGCTGGCTCACTCTTGAAGCTCAAGAAGTCCATCTATGGAGTCAATGATGCAGCACGTCAGTGGTACCACTCCATTAAAGGCATTCTTCAACGCCTTGGATGGGAAAGCCTGACTTTCGAACTTGCAGGCTTTGTGCTGAGAGATCCAACAAACAAAGAGGTGATTGCCATTTTGGCACTGCGTGTTGATGATGTGCTCATAGCTTGGGATGAGAAGAAGTACCCCAACGAGTGCAAAAGCATGCAAGAGAAGATGCAAAAGGAGGTGGAGTGGGGGCAATGGAGAACTGACGGGACCCTCAAGTTTTGCTGCAGATCTTATCATCAAGATGAAGATGGTACAATCCATGTACATGCGCAAGAGTACATTGACAACATGAGTACCTATAAGGTCAGCCCTGAGCGAGGGAAGGACAACACTGCAACCTTGACCTCGAGCGAGACAAAAGCTTTTCGTGGTTTGCTTGGACAACTTCAATGGTATGGCAGGATCATGGGCTATGCTATTGGATTTCAGGTCAGGTCAGCAAGTTGGCAAGCGAGATCAAAGACCTCAAGATGTCAAGTCTCAAAGAAGCCGCAAAGCTGGTTCGTGATGTCAAGCAGTATCGCAAGGAGGAGGAACTAGAGTTCAGACCCGGCATGTCATGGCAAGCAGACAACATTGCTGTGGTGGCGGTGCATGACGCCTCGTTCAACAACCTTCCAGGTCACAAGAGTCAGAAAGGGTATTGGCTTGGTATCTCCACGCCAGAATTGATGAAGGACAGAACAAGTTTGCACCATATCCACTTCGCGCACTGGACTTCATCGAAGATTCAACGTGTGGTGAGGTCAACCCTGCACTCCTACTCATGTTCTGAAGCCTTAGACGCTCTCAGCTGGCTTCGAGCAACTATCCTGGAAGTGCTACATGGAGAGTTGGACATGCGCCACTATAAGGACCATTTGCATCGTGTGCCAGGAGTCACAGTGACCGACTGTCGATTGCTCTATGATTGCATGAAGTCTGAAAGGGTTCTTCTTTCAGACAGCGACTTTCATTGGAGGCAGCAATCATTCGGCAGAGCCTACAAGAAGGCCTTGAGTGCAGATGGGTTCCTTCAGAACAGCAACTGGCAGGTGCATTGACCAAAGCATTGCGCAGGAAAGGTCTTGCTTATTTGAGTGATGTGCTCTACTCCAACAAGTGGACACTTGGTCCTGATCCACGACTACCTGAGGCCTCAAGAAGCAGGAAGTTGGAGATTCCGGAAGCAAAACCAAAAGAAGACAAAATCCAAGACCATGAAGAGGCAGAAGAAATCAACAAGAAGCGCATTGAGATCGAGAATGAAGACAGCCCCAACAGTACCGCCTCGGCAAATTCGACATCCATTGATGCAGGTGTATGTTCGAAGTCAATACTGATGCTCTCGATTGCACAGCAGGTCCTTCCAGCGCAGGCAGAACAGCAGGACGTAAGGACGATTCTGTGGTGACCATCCTGGGAGTTGATGTTTGCGTGCTTGATCATCGTTTTGACAGCAGCTCTTTGGTACAACACGACATACTACACCCAAGTGTTTCGATGGTATGAGGACCTAGCGTTGTACAAACAAGGCGCTCTTGTTGCAACAAGCACAATGCTGGTGGTTTTGGTCGGAATGCAGGCGAGGTTTTCACAGAATTCAGAATGTTTGACTTTGATGTTGGGAGCAATGATGGTGGCAATGATGATGATTGTGAAGAGAATTGATGAAAAGTCGGCAACAACCTTTGCAATCATGGGCCAAGAGAGGAGAAGGACGCGGGAATTGATTGATGGTGGCATGAGACAGTTGTTCAATGAAACGAACATTTTGCTGACAGGAATGGACAACATGAAAGGAGCCATCAATGCGGACTTCAAGAAGATGTCGCAGTTCATTCCAGACAGCAACAGATTCACGTACCAAAAGATGGATGACATTTCAGAAGATTACAATTACAGAATCACCAAAGTCATCGACAGGCTGATCCGCATAGAATACAAGCAGGAAAGGCAAGAAGTCAGAGCTTTGGACTTGGAAAAGAAGCTGAAGCAAAAGAAAACCTTCAATGAGTGAAGAAGCCAAAAGAGACATCTTGAAAAGACAAGATAGAAGAGAAGCGCCCGGCGCGCCAACGGAATCAGAGGTGATGAGCGTTCTGGATACACCAGAACCGCCAGAGCTCTACCTTGGTGAAGGTGATGGTAGGCTGGCACCTCATGAAGATGAACGGATGGAAGAAGAAGATGATGAACCAGAGACAACAAAGTTGATGAAGAACAACACGATTACACAACAGCTATGGGAGCAGTCAACGACAAAAGAGAGAAGATATATTCTTTCTGATGGTGATGCTGGAAGCTGTATGCATGTATGGTGATGATGAGATCAGGAATGACATCATGCAACAGATGCAGACCCTGGCAAGTGAAGTCAACGAAGAAGCAGTGATGAGAATGTCAAGGGCGAGCAGCTCACAGCATCGACCAGCAATTGCGGAACATGAGCCACAGAATGTCGAGGAATGTGAAGATTTCAGGTCATGAACACAGATGTCTCATGTCCGCACTTTGCAGGTGTACCGAAACGGTACGCGTGGCGGGCCGTCACGGCTCAAATCTTACTAGGCCTTGAGCCTTCCGATGCGCGGTTGGAAAACTAGGCGTCGAGGTTCATTTAGCACTTGACAATATATATATATATACACATATACTGTGTATATATATATGTACTGTGTATATATTTACATATACTGTATATATGTACACATATACTGTATATATATATATATAGACATTCTTTTTTCACTTAGCGCGTCTTGGGGACTTCTTCACTCGCGGACATGTTTTGGTCCTCGAAGAAAGTCGAATCCATCTCTCGATGCAAGTCTTGGAACGACCGAGGCATCCAGCGGCAAAAGTCTGATGGAGAGGATGCGAATGAGGCACCAGTTCAATGAATCTGAATTTTGCGCTAGGGAGAGGTGTAGGATTGAAGTAGGAACAAATTAAAGACAGTTTTCCCCTTTTTGTATAATAGCAGTACAGACAGAGAGCTCCGAGTTGATGCGATTTGCTTCGTAACACCGGTATCCGTGCTGCTGAAACTGCCAGGTTCTCCAGCGTTTAGGCGTGTGGAGCTGTGGAGCAGGTCCACTGCAATGAAAGAGGCGGATCTTCTTTTAGTTCCTCTTCTTGTTCCAAAGAAGGGCCAGATAGCTTCAGGAGTTAGGAACTGAGTTTGGAGAATTGCTTTGGTGACTTGGACCCTCTTGGGTCCGGTGAGAGTTTCAAGTCAGTCGCATCCCAAACGCCGGGAGATCATCTCAGGAGATCATGCAGTTCAGATGGAAGAAAACAGATCTTGACATTCTAGAAGAGTTTTTGGTCATGTACTTTTTATTTCCACAAGGTACCTGTCTCTTCTCCGCATCTGCTTATATAATTACTGATTCCAATCCTTTCATAACAGTTCTGGATGCAAGTCAAAAGATTGCAGATGGACAGCCAAGAAGGTGGTCACCTGGTGCATTGACATGTAATGTGAATATATACATGAATGCATATTTACCGTTCACGTATGTACATAGTTTTTGTGTATGAACATTACATAATATATAGGACGATTAGCTGACTCGAGTTTGACCATTTTTTCAGCCCTTCAGCCCCCCGCTTCTTTAGTGCACCGTGAGAGTCCATTACTTTCCAGTGAAGGGCTGTGAAGAGTCCCTTCTCCTGGCGTCATTGGATTCCAGCGCGTTGGAGTAGAGCGAGTGCGACTACACGTGCGTGTTTCCAAAACAATTTAGATTCACATGACGGTTGCGCGGACTCCGTCTGCGAAGCCGTAATACTCGGCTGAAAGCTGAGCTGGAGGGTGGATTCCAGCGAGATCAATGAATCATCTAAGAACACGCAATGAGCAACTACTAAGAATACGGAGATATATTGAAGAGTATGAGACTCCATGGATTTCCTCACTTGGGGCATTTGAAGCTCGAAAAAGGATCCACCATTTCCAGGCTAACAGGCTTGGAGGCCGCCACGGCCTCCGAAGGTGGCAGAAAAACATCCACAAAGGATCACGAGATGGGGAACCTCAAGGTGACCCTCAAAAGGAAGAAAAGGAGATTGATATGGATTGAGTGAGATATAGGTGGTCATGGAGTCATGCCCATGGCAGATGAAGCTACATGAAGCCTTTGGCTGCGTGATCCAGTGGATTTGTTGGCCTACACTCCAGACATCTTCAGACTTTGTGGTCACCAACGACCGTTCTCGTATGTCCCTTGTAATCCTTGTAGATTTTGTGATCGGTTTCGAAGGCCTGTGGGTGATCTCAGCGCTTGTGTCAGACGAGCCGAACCCCCGAGGGATGAGAATACAGCGGAGACTGAGCTGAGCCGAGCCTTTTGTGGGGACGAAGTCAGATCGAGAAGTCGGACCGGCGACCCGAGTGGATGAAGCTCCTTTCACCCCGGATGAAGGCTGAAGCCAACGTGCCACTCTCGAGAAGGGAGCCGTTGGCGAGACGGATCCGATGGCTGTTCCGATGTTTGTTGCGACCTTGTTTGCTCCCAGACCTTTGGGTGTTTTGGAATCGAACGGAACTCCTTGGAATTTTCAAGCCTCATCTCGAATATTTCTGTTTATTCCGCTCCTGCGCAGCGGGACCTTCCGATCGGTCAAGACCGGAAACATGTCATTATTGACACTTCGATCATCAGGAGAAAAACGTCGGCATTTGTTTGCCCGGTTGGTTTCCCGTTCTATGTTTGATCCAACTTCTTCTCATGTTAGCTGCTGTAGATGTTCTGTTTTTCATTGTTTTTCCTTTTTGGTGCAATGTTGCCTCGCCTACGGTCATGGCGACAAGACGAGAACCATGCAGAACCCACTAGTCACCAGGCCCAGGCACTTCGATGACAAGGATTCATGGCACTGTTCAGTGTTGGTCTCGTGTGACACCTATACAGGTGAGGCATACAGCTGTGCATGTTGACCAACGACATTCAACTTCATGCAGCTGCGTTGCCCAAGCAACACCATGTATGCCAGCGACTACCAAGACTGGATGGCCTAAGTATTGGATGCCGCCACCAACTGCTATACAGCAAAGGGCATGAAACAGAAAAGAAACACATGTGGAGGGTTCTTCTCTCAATTTATCTTCTATGGAAGGATGAACGACAACAATCAATTTTTTCCCCTCGATATCCGAATATGGCAAACGTCATGTGTCCTGATGGTGGGGACCTCGAGGACAAAATGTGAGTTCATGTATATACACGGAAACTGTTGCAGATCCATCCAGCTTCGTCACAAGAATTTGTCCGACCAACCTGTAAATCGCGGCTGGTCAATGAGGGGAACGCAACTAAAGAACCTGCGAAACAGTGGGGGTCTCCCGTTTCTGTAACCTTTCTTGGACGCTGAGGCGGAGGAGGTGCCTGAGTTAGAGGCCCCTGGTTGTGGCGGTTCACTGACCGGATGGGTTGAAGCCAAACGTCTGAAGCAGTCTGAACAGATGACTTTGAAAATCATTTGTAACTGGGAACTTCTCAAGAAGTTAAACAGCTTGAAGCCACACGTTACATGTCTGTTTCCTTTTTTTTTGTATTACTATATCATACCGTGGTCCAAACAAAAACATCAATGAATCGAGAGTTTGGCAAACACACCGGAAGCGAACTCGAATTGGCAACCTTCGGGGCTTTGAAAAGGGAGCAAAGGTAAGATTCTTGATACATTTTCATGAGAGGTCAACAACATGACATGAATGCAGCAGTTCTTCAACATTTTCCACGTCATCTAGAGTGGCTTAAGATTGATGCTTTACACGTGTGTGACACAAGGTTCCAAAGAAAGATGATTCCGGGACCGCCAAATGAGCCAAAAAGGGGAAGAAGTCCCTGGCCTCACAATGCCTGTGTGGAGAAAGGCGCCGCGCATAGTGCCGCGAGATGCGCGGGGACTCAACCAGTGTTTCACATCTTCTATCCGCAAGATAAGCCAGGTGGTGGATTCATACCTTCCCATTTCTGAAGAATCCACAAGCTCCTAGTTTCCCAAAAAGTAGAAGTAGGCTGAGAGCAACGTGCCAGCTCCGAAATGAAGATCGTATGACTAAAGGGTTCCAACCGGACTCCAAGCCAGATCGGAAGCCAGATCGCAGATTTCACCCCAAACAAACAGAACATGCAGGTGACTCTACTCCAAGAATGCAACCTCGATACTACTAGGAACAAGGACGCTACTAGGGGCTCCTGGCATCGCTACTAAGAGCAAGGACGCTACTAGTTGCATGATTTGCTTGCTGTGAACCTGCCGGCCTCTTTTTGGCCTCCATTCTTGGGTTTGCCATGGTTTGCCTCAGGGAGGTTTTCCTATCCAATGGGTTTGATCACTCACTTCACCATCACCTGGGGCTTCTCGCTAAGACGAGGAGAATCTCAGAGGCCCCCTAACCGCGCTGAGGCGGTTCATGAGGTGACCGTGCCTGAGGTCAAGGCCTGGTAGCGTCCTTGCTAGAAGTAACAAGGGCAGCGCTACTAGTAACAATGGGCATTACTACTAGTAGTGAATAGCTACGTTCGTAGCGATGCACTTGCTGCGTATGACCCGATGGGCCGCCCACCATCGGGTTGTTGGGAAGATGGCCCGGAAGCCGGACGAGTTCTCATACGTTCGCGTTCACACCGGACGAGCCCGGACGAGAACGGGTGAAACGAATCGAGCAGAGAAGAAAACGAACCAGTGACGCTGAGTGAACACACCAAACATCACCAAACATGTCTGATAATTCTTGAAGAAAAGACATAGAACAGACAGTAAAAAGGAAAACACATTGACATTGAATGAAACACTATTTTTCTTTCTTTTTTCTTGAAGGGTGAGTGGATCACTTCAATTCATGGCAATTGGCTGTTGTCAATTGACTGCTTGCAACCCTGGGATGCAACAGGTCTTTGATGAATCGCACAAGAATCACACGGGGACTGGGGACTGATATAACTTCTATAACTTCTTACTGTGCTTCCGAGCTCCCAAGCCACACGGATTTTCGGTGCACATTCCAGGTTGTAGCGATTCCGCCTCTGGATGTCCACGGGGCCGATGCGTGCGCCAGTCGGCTCCAGGACGGAGCTCCGTAAAAAAGCCCTGTGGAGCTCCGTAAAAAAGCCCTGTGGAGCCCCGAAAGATGCACGAGGGCCTTCAATAGTAGCGTCCTTGCTCCTAGTCGCGATCCCTTTGCTCCTAGTAGCATCCTTGCTCCTAGTAGTACAGCCAGGAGCCCCTAGTAGCTTCCTTGCTCCTAGAATCAGAATGCACTCTTGGAATCATCCCTATCTATGTTATCTACACTACACGAATGAGAAATTGAGACTGCATGAATCATGCTGCATGCTGGTTGTGCTGGCGTCGAAGCACAGTTCCTTCCGGTCGTGGAGTGCTTTTTGAGGAGTTGCAGAGACAGGCTCAAAAGGAGCACGGGAACTCAGAGACGAAGCTGAGTGTAAGCGAGGGACTCCTTTGGTGCTGTTGGTGTTCTTGGCCACATGGTCACTTGATCGATTCTGCACTTTGTTCGCGGGCTTTGGGAGCAAGCGAGTGGGATCCACTTTTCGATGTCTGACCACTCCACGAATGCAAGTCCCAAGAAGACTCATCTCCCCAAAGATCATCTCCAGGATCCTTGAAGCGAAGCTGAGGTTCAATGTCGACTCTTGATATTTCAAGCCCCCATATGAATTGGGTTTTACCATCCTAATCAAGAGCCTACATTAGGCTTGTTGACGGAAACGATTTGAGAGATAGATATGTGTTCACGGCCCCCCGAAGACGTTACGACTGACCGCGCCCAAACTGGTGCAGTTGGTGTTAAGTTGGTGCCCTTGCAGCCTTGATGCGAGAATGTTCAGCTTAAGACGTAAAGTGCACTTTGTGAGAAAATGCAGACCCCAAACTAACTCAAACATGTATTCTTGAACATTTTGCTCATTTGGTCCACCAGCGTCCCGGAATTTGACACCACAACCACAGGGACAAGGATTGATCCCGATTGCAGAGTCTATCCGAGGCAACAGCAGCTCCAGCTTCGGCTGCAGCAGATGCGGGGACAAGAGCTGTATCAGCAGCTGCAGCAGCCATCCATGACGCCTGACAGGAAGAGTTTGGAAGGTAAGACCCAAGTAGGACATCTTGGTAAACACTTCAGTAGGTAGTGAGGGAGGAACCTGGCTGAACGCTCAATTGAGATGAGAGCATCAACGTCACAAGATGTCCTGTCCCTTCGCTCTCCCGGGCATCGGATGGGCCGATCCCCGATGCCCATCGCCCCGAGGGTCACGCCGGGCGCGCCGCCGAGCTGGGCGGCCTCGGAGCCGAGCTGGGCGCCACCGGAGCCGAGCTGGAGCTGTCCACAGTGCCTGGACAGAGAATGCCCCGAACACACCCCTGAACAGGTGCCTTTTCCAAGCTGGGCGGCCGATGGGAGAGAGTTGGAGAGGTGAAATCAGTTCATCCAGTGAGAGGTCCTGCTCGCTTTTTTACTTTCTATTTACAGTGATTGTTTCTCAGCATTCTTGGAGGTTTGAGGCTCATGAGCTGTGACAAGGGTTGCAAGCTTCGGTGAGGTCTGTAGCTCATTCTGTTTGGCTCCGCATTCCACGAAAGCGAGAAGCTTTTCCTATGCTAGCAGCTGCCCCATGCGAACGGGGTAATGGGGTGTAACGATTGGGTGGCTGTGCTTGCATACTCATATGACTCATATGTCATAGGCATGGTCTAGGATCCAACATATTCAAGATTCTTTTCATTTCCTCTCTTCTGGTCTATAATGGCTATTACTGTTTGTCCAAGGTATCCCACTTTCAATCTGCAGCCAGTGCAACTGCCACCGCTGGGCATGCCAAACTTGCAGCCCTGGGCACCGTTACTTGGGCCGCAATTGAGTCGCTACTCTGGATGACCAGAGTCTGACAAATGGAACACTTCAGTTTGGAGGACGCAGGCATTTCAAGGCCTCTTTCTGTGCTTCCTAAGTCTGAACTCCCAATGCTGAGGACGGCACCAATGCGCCAGAGTGACCCTGCCGCCGTAATGCCACTTGGTCTAAGAGTCTAAGATGTGGGCTTGTGGGTGCAAGCATGGGAACCCCAAATTGCTTGATCCATTTAAGCAAGTGCATTCTGATGCGGGAAGGTAGAAACTGACTAGGTAAGACCACCTCAAGCACCCCACAGCAATGTTTTTAGGATCCTAAGTTGTGATTTGTAGGCATCTCCGTGCAAGTCAAAGTCAAGTCAAATATAAATATCTTTTTCATAGAGTGATTTGGATGAATGTTTTTAGGTTTCCTGACACTCCACACTTTCCACATCCCTCCACAAAACCATGGAGAGCGCTTTAGCTGGTGGGCCATCTAAATTGTCCGAATGAGGGATCTTGAACGGCACTCATCAAGAGAAACAAGGGCGAAAGCCCTCCCTGGACCTCTTTGATCGATTTTCACGTCTTCGGGGTCAAGCTGTTCAAGGAAGTAGCTCCAAAGACTCTGTCAGGTGTCTCCTTCCAATGCACATCTTGTCACCGTCGCAGTGGTGGGAAAGCAGGCGACATCGAATTTCCACACAACAAGCCGTCAGATTGCATGAAACTGTGAACCCAGATAGATGGTGCATCACTTACTTTGACCTCAAGTTCTTCGAGTCTGAGGTCCAAAGAGCTATTCAAGGTGGCCTAACTTTTCAGGAGAACTTTGACGTTTCGCTTGGGCCCAGTATTTATGCAGTCAATGAAGAGTACATCAAACCAGTCACCGCCGCTGCTGGCAAAATGAGCTGGGCATTGATGATGAATCCGGATGGACTTGACTGCGATCTCTTCATTACTCATGCTTGGCAGGAAAGCGTTCTTGAATTTACGCAAAAAGGTGACATCTTGGCCTTGGAGTGCGCGTCATGCTTGGTGCTGCATGCTTGCAAATCCCCAGAATTTGAATATTTCCGCAATGATTCGGTGCCCCATACATATTATCGCCTTTTGCACTTGCCTTGAGGAGCTCCAAGTTTTTGTTGGTGGTGCCTAACCGGAACGCAAGTGTCTACACAAGGTTGTGGTGTGGATACGAAGCATACTTGGCGTTTCAAGTCGACAAACTTATTCAGGCGGCAACGCCGGCAAAGCCTCCGATTTGGCCCCAAGTGCTGCTGGCTTGGCTTCTGATGTTTCCAGCGCTTCTGGTAGGTAGGTATCATTGTTGGTGTGATTATCTGATTGTTAGAGTTGGGGATTTCAAGACTGCCATATTGTTGACAAGGGTAACGAGAGCGTTAACGCTCCTGGCCAGCTTGCTGAGCCAAAACACTGGTCACAACCAATTAACCAATTAATGGTTGATTGTGAACCATGTTGGCTGGCAGCTTGTCTTGCCTGCCTGATTAGATCCTTAAATTCTTTTGTCAAGGTTGAACCTTTGCTTCCAGAAGACGATAGGACAGTACAATATTCCTTGCGTAGCATGCTGATTTTCTATTTCATGCTTGCCGGATTGGACCGGGTCAACTTGCACATAGCAGCGCGAGAAGCGGAGCTGCTGGAAAACCAGTATCAAGGGTCAATTCGTCAGGCATCCTGTTCCCAAATCCAGGATGAGATGAACACTCGGAGTGAAATCGGCAATCAAGTCGACAAAGTTGACAAAGTAATTGAAGTACTGTTGAAAGCTGGTATGACATCAGATGCACTGCGAGATGCACACATGCACGGGGTCGTGCTCAGGCATTCAGGAGTTGTCCAGTTGGCAATCCCTCTCATTGTGCTTGGCCCTTTCGTGATTGAGAGTTTTTGAGCTTTGGCCAGGCACACTGTTGTGTTTTGTGCACCTGACAATCGAGGGACTTGCATCGACTGGTTCAACTTGTTTCTACAAGTAATTTGTCTTATTGCCAGGCTCAGCTTCTTGACTCTTCTTTGGAGACGCTCCGCTGATGAAAGATGTTTCATGCTAAATGCTATGGCAAAAATTGTTGCTCCAGTGTGGTTCTTTTGGAATATGTTGCCTGCTACGACCTCACACTTGATTTTGGCAGTGGAGACTTCTTATCACCTGTCCTACGTTGTTGTGTTTTTTTTGCTTGGTTGGGAATCCGTGGAACTTTGAAGCTGCCTTTCGGCCCGTGGCTTGCCGAAATCGTGTTGTCCAGGGTCATCACATGCCACGTCGATAGCTATCAATACTCTAAGATGGACTCCTCATCGTCTGATCTGAGGGTCATGGAGCAGTTGTCGCCCGATCCGTTTGAGCAGGAGGAGTTCCGTAGTGACGGCTCCGAATGATTTTGGGGCGGATGCACTTTGTGTGGGCAATCTCATGGAAAAGCACAGTATTGAACAAGTTGATGTGTTCCTTTACATATATTTGAGTTTGACCTGGTCTAGTTGTTCGGGTGTCTCCATCAGCCGGACTTATGTTCTTGGTCAATCAACCCCTTTGACCATCGCTGCTCAGTGGGGAGAGCCTTAAAAGTGGGTATTTGTGTCACGGTGCAGGAGGATAATCTTTCACAATCCCCCCAGAAAAAGCCAACACACATGAAAAGAGGGCTTAGTAGACAATGGCCCAAATGCCCCAGACAAGAGATTGGAATTGATTCTGCCGAGCAGTCTTGAATGATGATGTGGCGCTGTGCTTATATAACATTGAACATTAAGGCGGTAAGCTAACACAGGACGTAGTACGCTGACTGGCGCCAGTACTTGTAAAACGCTGCCGAAAAGAATCAACACACACACACCGATGCATGAAGGGTTAAGCAATTTTGCACATTGATTTTGAGGGTTGCTCAAGTCTTCTGAGGCCGAACTTGTTGGCGCCCAAAGGCTTGGCGCCTCCCAAGGGCATCGACTGGAGCGCCCAGAAAGAACAGCAACGAACTCCGGTCGACAGATGGGTTGCTGCGACTCGATGAGTACTAGCGATGGCCTCCAACCTAAGAGCGATGGCCTCCAACCGATTTTTTTGGATTGGTGTGTCTTGAAGTTCCAGGAAGTTTCTTGGTTTTTACCGTTTTCTATGTGGCAGGAGTTTTTTTTGGGGGTTTTGACCCTTGAACTGTCACTGTGGCATCTGAAATGTTTTCAGAAGATGCAAATCAATGTGTAGACGGAGCCCTTTTGGAGTGAATGAGGGTTGGAAGCGGCTGTAGGCCCAACCTGAGCCGTTGCGGACCTACCTGGAACCGCCTGTGATCGAGCCCATGATGGGAGGAGTGGGCATTTTTCAGGGTTTAGGGTTTCGAAGCTCTGGGACATGTCGGCCCCGTGGGCTGGGCCGGAAATCAAACTTTCTGAGGCGACTTCCGAAAGACCACAGAGTGTCGTAATGTGTCGTAAAACTCTTCCAGGACACAGTGCAGGTGACCCGCTCTGTGCAACTCTTGGAAGCTCCGAGGTGCTTTGAGATGGGTGTAAGATTTCAGCGCGCGCACAATGCATGTTAGGATACTTTCAGATACACATTGTGGCACCACAAGTATGCACAAGGCTCTTGTGTTCCGATCCCTGTGCTTCAATCTGACCATTGGGATGTTGACAAACTCTTTCCGCTTTGTGCAAGGCGTTGCCTTGTGGCTTTGGCCCGTCGCGGCCTTGGGTTCCTTCATGTTCCTTCATGTTCCTTGTGAGCCTTGGGTGAACTTGCCAGTTACCTGTTGCAAACCCGTTTCGCTTGGAAGAATCCATTCCTTCCCGGAAGCTCAAAGGCCATCCCCCAACGGATTTTCCGGAATTCCATTGGAGGTCTCCCGGAAGTGGCGGGGCCATGCCTCTGAGCATGCCAGAGCCCGTGACCAGCTCGGGAGACCCAGACGTGGTGTGAGCTTGGCCTCGCTGTCCATGCTCGCTGTCCATGTGCGCCATGCATTTTTTGCTTCTCTGGTTCGAGGCCTCAAGCATCTAGCAGGCTCGAGTCAGACGGAATAGGGAGGCTGGTGGTGGACGGAACTCTGTGTGTTTTTTGGCTTCCAGCTTCCTCGATTGGAGTGCGTGGTTGAATTTGAGAGATCAGCAAAAGCATGGTGCACACGTGGTTGTGCCAAATGGTTTCCCCGCAATTGGTGTGCAAAAGCACACCCAAAATTCCCCAAATGTTGGCTTCTTGTTGGTCCATATTCGTCACGTTCGGTCACACGTTTCCCGTCACCTATTCGGGGTTCATCGGCGGAGTGTTCGGACTCTCGGAAGTAGTGGGGGGGGTGACCAGTCCACCCTGCCTTTTTGGTGGCGTGCTCAGGCATCAGTGCAAAGCAGGACCAAGAGATCCTTCACACCCTTCAGTCCAGTGGCTTGGCCGGGGCACCTGGACTGTTCCGCTGGGCGCTTCCTCGCTTCCACCGGTGTTTGGGGGGTTTGAGACGGAACGAAGCCTCTGACTCACCAGCGACGAGAAGCACCTTCGGATTCACTGAACGAGAATGCTGGGTGACTTGGAGGGGATGATTGTCAAGACATACCTTGGCAAGCCTGCGGTTTGTGAAACGGCGGTGTTGCATTCCAATTCTGCACACATGTGAGTGCACCAGAGATTTGATGAAGAGCATGTCTTCTGTCTGCAACTCTTTCACTTGCTTGTTACAGTACACATTACAGCAGCGGAATTCGCAAAAGGCTTTGTCCAAAAGGCCAATGCTTTTGGACCTCCATCCAGGCGCTGAATTTGAAGAGCCTGGATGAGTCTCGAGCTTAAAAAGTCTGTACGTAACTTCAGTGCTCACAGACCCTGTAGCCGTAGCCCCTCATGGGCACACGGCACGCACTTTTTCTTTGGGGTTCCAAATCAAGATAAGTGCTGAAAGATGCTGCAACATCGCACGGTCTGTCAGCAGTGGATCTCAAGTTTCCAAAGAATGTCCGCCCATGCTCATGTCCACTTCGAATCAACTCTAGAATGCCATGCGTTTTGATAATCTCCCATTTGGTCCGTAGTTCGAGTACTGGAATAACCTGTCATACACATACCTGCCGATGCTCGGTGACAACAGCCAGGATTGGCTTGTCGCACCCACCCATGTCTGCTCCACCCATGTGCCGTTCGTTCATCCGCAAACAGAGATCATTTGATATCGCTTGCAGGTATCAATATCCCTCCGTGTGTTTGCTTGTTGCTTCCCTTGACCCGGGGTGCGGGGCACTGCTTTTTCTTTGTTTCCAGTCAGGCCGGAAGCGGATATCAACCAGATGCTGTCGATAGCCACACAGGCAAAGCTTGGAGACGTCGGCTTTTTCGAGGGCCTAGGTATTGATGGGCAGAATGCCAAGGTATTGTATATATGATTATATGCAAAAAGCACCAGTGCCATGCAAAGATCAAAGAATGATGGTCCAAATGTGGCTCCCCAATGCTGCCAGTGTTCATGCGACCAGGGCAGTGCGCATGAGTCCAAGCTGGAGGCTCAGTGAAGATTCATCTCGGGCGCAAACACGTCCTTCGATCAGTTCCCTGGAAACCTGGTTGGTGTTGAGAACCACAAACATTGGCTTCTTTGTCCTCCTTCGCAGTGACATCTTCTAGACATAGGCAAACAGATTCGAGCAGTCAAGGGTAGGCAAGGCACGGCAAGTCTCTCTTGCACTAAGGACCTCGTCGGCGATGCCGGAGCCAGCAACAGCTTCCAAAGCAGGGTGCTAAGCAGAACTGCGCACTGCGCAGACATTGCTTACACACCGTGTACTTGTTCTCTAAGGATCTATATACGGTTTTGCACTCCATTAGCACACCTTTGCTCTGAGGTGCGGCTGAAAAGCGGCTCCATGGTCGAGGCGGAGGCGGCACATGGAACAGCCAAGTGCAGTGGCACTGAGTGTTTGCAGCCAGCAGATCTGAGTAGCACTCGTGGCAGCCCGGTCAGGAATATGTTCGAGGCTACCGTCCCCAGAGCCACGCCCACAGTGGGGGTGCCCAGCCCATCTGACGCTCTGCTACTTCGGTCAGGGGGCGTCAGATTTGGGGTTTGCTACCTGAGGCATCCAGTATCCAAGCCCTGGCCTCGGGAGTGCGGTCGAGTTCGCGAAGAGAAGAAGACCAAGAAGACCAAAAGCTTGAGGAGTCTTACCATCCACTACCTGAAGGAGAGAAGTGGATGGAAGACTGGAAGTGGATTGAAGGGGTTTGGCTTCTGACTGAGGTGGAGTGCGGGTGGATTTTCGGGAGTTGGCGCCAGCCGGAAGCCCCAGTGGACACCTTGTGGCTTGATTGATTTCATGCTGCGTGCTTCGACCAAACATCGTCAGTGCTGCAGATCAGCTGGGGCATGGTCACAAGATCTCCATCCTTCATCCTTCAGACCTCCACCTCCAAACTTGCGCTTGCACAGAGTGGCTCCAATGGAGCTTTTGAAGCTGGAGCGTTTGAGTGTACCACCAAGGGCCTTCTTGGTGGGCGAGCTGTCGCTTGTACACTTGAAATTTGGGTCGCTTGTGCACTTGAAAT